CTGAAGTGGCTGGGGCATGTATTATGCCTACCAAACGAGGCCGTGTTTTCTGGTCAGGTGCTTGGACTGAGTGTTATAGTGTCCCAAATCTCTAGTTCTTTCTCTGACACGATTTCCAATTTGACCCGAATCCCATTTAGATACGAAATACACTGAATAATGTGTATTCTGATGTGCATCTTGAGTGTGAAGGGCCACCAAAATGCTGGACAAATGCAACACCAAGGTTGGTCATGGCGTCGGAACCATTGGGGATATCGGACAGGTTTGCCTATTTGGTTAGTTGCATTACGTCGGTTGACAGCATTGCTGAGGTGGGTTCTACGATCACGAAAAGTCGTTCTGCTTTCCTTCAAATTAGTTACCTTTGGGACGATGTGATGTTAGCCTCTCGGTGAAAGTGGGTCCCTGACATGCCAGTGCTGCGTATTGCTCCCGGTACACGTTGGAGATTGCGTGTTCTTGACGATCGATGCCTTCGAGTCATTGCACGCGTATCTTGGAAACATCGGTTTAGCAATGTTAAAACGTGCCGAGTGGTTTTTAGGAATAAACAAACTGATTAAGTACCTCATGTGGTGATTCGGCTTTACCAACTAACATGGTGCGGTCGTGTCCGGCATGCCCTATTTTCTGCAAGATAATATAATGTGGGCAGCGCATAGCCTAAAGACAAAACAGAGAACATAACACAAAGGACCTTGGTTGCTGGGGTGCATATCATTTGCGTGATTGATGTATCAAAGATCCAACACACCAATGGTTAGAGAGACTCACCGACATGATTTCACTCAAACAGCGGTGTTGTGTCCATTGTCTCAGTCATCAACTCGTTGTTTTCTTAGTGTTGTGTGCCCTGCCTATCTTTACCCACTGCCACATGCTTCGGTGACCTGACCCACCGTACATGTGCACAGGTTAAACTAAGCTGATGGTGGTGATTAAGCCGTCATGGGCTAGATTCGCTTGTTTGTACAAGCTAGGGTGCATTGTGGCTTGCCAGGTGACACTGAGAATCGACGTAGCATAATTAGAAAACTGCCCTCGATAATGTCCTCAGTTGTCGCTTATCGGACTCGGTGTCTGGGTCATAGAAAATTCAGAATTCTCTGTTGGCTCCGATGGTCGTCCATATGTCGGTCGCGCCCTTTATATGTATGATTGTTCAGCTGTAGCATCCTTTCGTGCCTAGCTTGCCGTGTCACACGAAGAAGGCACGAGGGCTGGGATACTGCCAGGTCGCCCAAGCCTAGACAGGGGAAGTCGAGAGGCAGAGGTCGGGTTCGAACCATGCATCTTCCGGTCAGTAAATTCGCGCACCAACCACTTGGTCCAACTCGCTCCCTTATATGTATGGCGGAAATGCTATCCGGAGGAAGCACAAGTTGTATATGAACAAGGACAACGAAAACGAGCGAATCCGAACCATCCTCGATTAAGAGCTTGCGCCACAACTGAAAGTCGACCTTCTTGGTGGCTTTGATAGCTTCTAATTCGAAAAAGGGATAGAGCCTGTATAAATGCCTTTGTGGTGCCTCAAGAGCTTGTTCCGTTTGGTTGCAATAGCAGTTCTCGTCTTCAGGTCAGTACATATTTAGTGGTTGGGGTAGGAAATAAAACGTTCAGTAACTATCAAGGCGAAAATACTGTTGTCGGTGCGACGCAAGTCTTATGTAAGATGGTATAATGAGCCTCATAGCGACCGCGTTAAAGCAGTGGTCCCAACTAGAAGGACAGGTTCCATGTATACGAGCCACAGGCTTGCAGACCCAAGTTCTGCAGTATTACCTCAGTTCGTCCTCTTTGTGTTCACAGCACTATTACCAGCATCCTAATTTGCATGTTCGTTAGGATGCGAAAATGGTGGATCCCTGGAACTCAAGGAACGTGCGTATCAAGCTACACTGCGGGCTGTTCTGTTTATTGATGTGAGACTTGGCCCGTTCGGACAGCGGAACTGAGACGTCTTAAACTCTTCGACAATCGTTGGCTCTGAACCATAGCCAGTGTGGTTTGCTTTTAGCGTATCCTTAACGAAGCAATTAGAGTTGTGCAACTGGGACTTCCATTGAAGAATGTCCAACACTAGAAGCTGCGTTGGTTGGGACATGTGTTGCGTATGCCCACTCATCGTTTGCCGTTCAACTTATTACCAGGGGCTGTTTTCCGTGCCCCATTCAGAGATGGTGTACCCTTGACTTGGCAGAAGGGTATGAAAGAAAGTCAGCGCTAATCGTCTTCCAGAATGTGGACCGCGTGATCCTCATTGCACCTGCTTTTAGACGTTTCGAGATATGGTTGCCTACCGATGTCAGTGGTTTCAGGTTCTATCCAGACTGTGTGAATTAGTGTTTGGAGGTTTAGGCATCTCGGAATGATGGTAGCAAGCTAGCACTAAATCCTTTCCCTATCCAACTTTATTCTTCCCTTCACAATAAGCCTCAAATAAATCATGGTTGTACGGCACCGAAGCAGTGGCGTTGAACACTGATGTCATGCTGTCAATGATGATTATGATGATAGGATGCGTAACTACATCACAGAAAGTTCACGGGTTGTAATACTGCAACTTCAACCCCTGAACTCTAAAAGTAATAGCGTAAATGAGGAGTGAGACGGCTCAATGGTTAGAGCGCGAATTTACTGACCGTAAGGTCCGTGGTTCGAACCCGACCTCTGCCTCTCGACTTCCCCTGTCTAGGCTTGGGCGACCTGGCAGTATCCCAGCCCTCGTGCCTTCTTCGTGTGACACGGCAGCTAGGCACCGAAAGGATGCTACAGCTGAACAATCATACATATAAAGGGCGCGACCGACATATGGACGACCATCGGAGCCAACAGAGAATTCTGAATTTTCTATGACCCAGACACCGAGTCCGATAAGCGACAACTGAGGACATTATCGAGGGCAGTTTTCTAATTATGCTACGTCCTTTCGGGTGGCATGGCAGCTAGGCAGCGGAAGAGTGTTACAGCGGGAACGATAGTGTAAATGATTTCCAATTTTATTTTGGAACCATTTACTGAGGATGATACACAGGAATAGGAGAAGGGTTGAGAGCAGTCTGCTCAGAGAATGCGCTTGTGCACGGCAAGAGCTTGATCTTAAGACAACTTAGCTAACTGTCCAAATTGTGTGACAACCATATGATAAGCCGATGGGGCAATAGCGCTTAAGCCAGGTGATGTTGATCCATATATAGGATCTCCCAGGTGCTCAGTAAGCCTGGTGTTTCTCACTTGCTTTTTGTTGGACTTGTTAATTTCACTCCAACACAGCCGTTACTAGATGTCTGTCCGAAACTCCTTTCCTTGCCTCAAACGGTCAAGTTGGAACCAAAGGACAGTGGAAATTCGAATGATCGGTTCTCCATATGCCATTGAGGAAGTATGACATCGCCTTTCTAGCAGTTTAAACTATATGTTGCATGCACGTCTGTTGTACGTGGATGTCGTTTGCAAGACCGACGTACTCGTATGCAACTTCCGCACCAGTCTCACCATTGTGACGTAGTGTAGACTCTTGGTGGAGTTGGGGCCCCTAAATAATGTATGACGTCTTGCAGAAGTCAGATGCAACTAAGCGATGTAATACATGGTAGGCCCTCCACTCAGACACCTAAGGTTAGTCATCATCATCGACAGCATGATGTCAGTGTTTAACACGTGCTTCGGTGCCTTACGATTATGATTTATTTGAAAGCCCTACCATCAACAAAAAAGGTGGACAGGGAAGGGACTTGATGCTAGTCTACTGCGACATTCCGACTTGACTACACCCTTGGGCACTCATTCAGGTGATATGGATAGAAATTGACAACAAGAACGCCATTGACATAGGTTAGCAGCCATATCTTGCAGCAAGTAGCAACGACAGCACCTTAACGTCTGTTTCATACCCTTGCGCCCGCTCAAGGGTTGGCCACCGCCGCTTCCGCCATTCAGAATTGGGCATCGAAAACAGCATTCTTCTACAAACCATGGTTCGGTGTGCACAATACATGGCTGGACACATTCTTCAATGGAAGTTCCTGTTGCGCAACCGAAGACTCGCTTTCTAATTGTCTCGGATTCGCGGACACCAAGCTACACGAGCAACGGTCCCTAGACAATGATTGTCGAACACCCGAGGACGTTCTGCACGAACGGACCAACCCTCGGCCATACAACAAAGCCCGCACTGTAGCCTGATAAACATGTCCCTTGAGATTCAGGGATGTACCGCTATGCCGCCACAGCCGTCAAGTTAGCAAATGCGACCGGAGATTTGCAGATTCATGCTTTGACCTCATTTGTCACGCGACAGTCGGAACTAGTACAACTTTGCATATATGTAAAACGTTCCACAACCTCGAGTGTCCCCAGGATTTTAAGTGGCGTGTCCAGATGTGAGATCCATATCAAAGTTTCATATAAAGACACCTGCTCTCTCTTTTTTCAATGATGAGAACGATATGGTCTGCATATTCCAGATCGACATTTTCTTCAGAGACCATTTGAACGCCTGAGTTTTGAAAACTTCCCAGCATTCGTCTCATTATCTCATCGACCACGAAACTTGAGAAATAAGTACGTAATTTCACTATTAGTGATACGGCACGGAACATCCTGTTTCATGTATACTACCCTCCTATCTGTGGGCGAGATGTTCCAAGTGGTTAGAGCGCGAATTTACTGACCGGAAGGTCTGTGGTTCGAATCCGAACTCTGCCCCTCGACTTTCCCTGTCTAGGCTTGGGCAACCTGGCAGTATCCCAGCCCTTGTGCAACCTTCGGGTGGCATGGCAGCTAGGCACCGAAAGGGCGCTACAGCTGAACGGTTTACACCTTGTTTCAGTGACCCTCCTAGCTGTACGACTTATCCATGATCATTAGTCTATCTTTCGTAGACTGCTGCTGGACCCACATTTTTTAACCAATGGGATGGATACTGCTACATACTCATCTTTATATGTAATATATATATATATATATATATATCTTTCATACTTATTTCAGTCATGCCTCGACGCTCTGGTCATACTTCGGAGGAGAGCCCTGCTCCTCGGCGCACAAGCGCGCGAATCGCTGCTGTCCAAGCAGCATCGCCGGCAAAGTCTCCTGTTAAGTCACCAAGACGTAAGGTAGGCTCAACCGTCCATTTATTCACTGTCATCCTAGCGGCAGTCAGCTGAACCGACGAAGATAGCGTCAGAAGATACGGAGTCTCAACAGTCGCAAATCAAGAGTGAAGGTAGCACTGAAGAGATTAACGGTTTGGACACCAGCTCCTCCACCAAAGACCGGGATTCCGTTGCAGACTCACAAGAGTTACCGTCGAAGAAAGCCAAAGTGGACAGTCAGCCCGATGAAGGCAAGTTTCGCTGTTTTCCATAATAACACTAGTAGAAACAGAAAAATCTGTCGACGTCAGTGAGGCTACTCCCAAAAAGTCGGAAGTCAGTGAAATTGCCCCAGCAGTTATTGAGAGCACTCCCACAATATCAACAGGAATCAGCGAACTTATCCCAAAAGTACCAGACGAGGTCCCACCAACAGAAACTGAACCACCAGTGAATGAGGCCCCTGCTCCCATCATTACAGAAGCGATAGATTTCGAGGTTGTCGAAAAGACAGATGTCCCCGCTGCCGACAGCGCTGAAGTTGAGGCAGCCGTATCCGTCCAAGGAGAGGATGGTCAACTCTTAGTAGGGTTCGTTCAAGTAGATAAAGATGAGCTCCCTTCGGCAACAAGCCTGGAAGTCAAACAGGTGACTCCGTCAGAACAGCCCGCGGATCATATAACGGGACGCGTAATAGAGGATGCTCCAACTGCTCATGTCCATTCACTCAACTCAGTAAATGGAGACAGCAAACACACGGCGCCCTTAGGTAAGCCTTGGTTTTTGGTTAACTTCTGGTAGTGATGTAAGAATGACGAAATTTGTCTTCACTAGTCCGTCTGTTCATGTCTTCGCAAATCTGTTCATCTAAACAGTACTTGTAAAAATGTAGTTTCTTAGCGTTTTTCTACCTTGTACTGACTTCAATAATTTACTTCTACTTACAGACGTGCCACCGACCACCGAACAGATAGAGCCAGAAATCCATAGCAAACTGCCTGCCATCATTGAAACAGCAGTACAGCCCTCCTCGACTCCAGCTGCCGGAGATGGTGCCGTCGTAGATGCTATCAGTCCTGAAATGATTCCTCAATAATTCCCGGTTCTAACCCTGTTTGATTTCCATTAATGTTTTTATTCGAGTATTCTTCACTACAATGATTCCCTTCCCCATGTGTCCAGGGTTTGTAACGCTCCTCAGAGAACAAGTCTATTCGGTTGTTCGCGTTGTTGTTGGTGCTCGTTACAGTTAGAGCGCTCGCGCCGTTCATCTTCAACTTACTCTGTCGCATACATATCCCCGTGTTTCCATCCCCAGAACACAGTCTAGCGAATAAGTGCATACGAGCTATGTATATCAATGCTATTGTACGAGCCATAACTGCGATCGAGCTGCTAGTCGCGCGCGGGTGCGCCATTTGTTAACCAAACACACTATTTCACATCCGATACGTTATTTGGCTTCACCTTGTTCATATTCATCTGTGTGCGCGAAGGGTTTTCTATCCTTCCTATGTGTATGTTGTCCGAACTGAAAATTTTTTCAACCTTTTGCCCTTTTCCATGGTTAAATATTTTATATCCACATTGCAATAGCGTTATTACTACCATCACCATTGTTACGCGTAATGTCACGGTCCATCTGCATTTGGTTGTTAATAGAATTGTACTTCGGAGTAATTATTTTCCCATTCGACGTCTATGAACATTCTGTGGCGAAATCCTGCAATTTTCGATGTTTCCGCGCGTTGTATTCTAGCTTATATGTCTACAGCTCCACTTGAGCCACATCCTTGACACAGAATTCGGTCGTTAAGGCAACAGTCACATCCCATGCAGTTTGAATAATGTAGTTTTGCACACGATCATCACATGCGTACTTTCCTGCATGCTGCTTGCAACCAAGGTCCGGCCTCCGTATTCCATTTGGCCGTTGTGAGAAATGCCCCCGATATAAGCTGTCCATTCTACCATCGTGTTACACGTGCTCTGCGCTGGCGTGGCTGTGATAACTTTCGTGTTTTTTTTTACTTTACTCATGACTACATCGATCTTAGAGCTGTGTAAACTATGATCTCCATCCGGAGAAATCGTTCGCCCTGGCGGCGTTTTATGGTAGACCCGTGGTCCGTAGTATGCGTCACTCCTGAAAATCCGTAGGTTAGAAAAACGCTTGTTTGTTTTAGGAATCCAATGGACCGTGGACTGTCGAGGCAATCAGGGACGTCCACGCGTCTGGTTTGGATTCCTAGGAAATTGGGTAACGTTTGTGATTTCAACTTGGTCCTCGAATGCACACATGTCGTTGTTAGCCCGGACGTTGTTGTATAGAGACCGAGGTTGTACAGCCCCGTGGAACTATGCCATGGAGATCTGGTTATGTTTAACATCGCTTTATGTGTTATATCTCTTTCCTCTGGAAGTTCACTGCGACTTCCACGCTGCCTGCTTTTATGCTGACCATCTAGAGGTTTGGTTGTTTGCTAAAGAGGCGTGATTCCATGTCGAAAGGTGTTTTTATTTGTCTAGCTTTCTACTGTGATTGTGTTACCTCTGAATGCAATGTAAGGTTTGGAGCCTATCATCTGGATGAACATACACGGCTGGCAACAGATGATTCATTGGGTTCCAAACGGAAAAGTTCAATAACTTCCTAAACTCTGGCTACTACTTAGCTGTAGTACGCAAGCAAACACCGAGTGCCAAGTGTCAGTCGAGGCTTATGTTTCCTGACGCCATTGACTGTCCCATGTTTCGTAAAGACCGAACTCGTCTGGGCCATAACTTCCAAGTAGGGTACTGTTCGACAGAGCCCAATAAGTATGGGATTCGCTACCGAAAAGTGGATTGTACTTCCCAGCGCACCCTTAGTTCTTCGAGTTAACTGTGAGGCACGGAAACGCACTAGGTTTACGTCAGAACGTTGGTGAGGGATCTAAGCTGTTCAGCTACCCTAAACGGAACCGTCTGGTGGTTGGCGTCGCAAAAACGTATCCTCGTCTTGGTTCGACGGTTTGCAAATCTCAATTACCGTTGCAACATGCGCTTAGTTTCTTTTGCCAGGTTGATCAATGGATTGAGGTCTGATGAACATCCTCCTGGTCCTTCAGCTTGGCACTTTACTCCTTAAGAATAAGACGACACGGGTGACTTTCCGCCAACTACCGGTATCCTGTAATCTGGTTTCGGGTCAAACGCTTCGGTTGGGGACCATAATCGTCTTGTTTAGGGATGGGCACGGTGATAGTATCTCAGCCCAGATGTAAACACGAAGTGTATGATCAAGCGTGCCTCCATACCATATCAAACCTCCGGCGGAGTCGACTTGTTCGCTACATGCAACAGGATGGCTAGGCAAATGAATGCGATTGCTGACACCACTGGTATCCTTGAGTTCCTCCTATCCCACCTAGTAATTAGGCTTCTGCTGATCCCGGCCGTAGTCACGTGTCCAGGGAACTGCCCCTGCCTATCTTTATCACATCTTTTAAAGTGCGAGTTCCTAAGCAGGTGAGGCAGTGTGCTGCTGTTGTGCGCACCTTAAGTACTAGACCGATGGAAATGTGTCCCGTTTCTGAAACTCGAATACAAAATTCAAATACAGTAACAGCCAACTTCACCGTTTAGACACTACCGGCAGTTACCGAAGCGGATTGTGTCAATAGTGGTGTCGTCCTCAGTTTGCAAGCGGAGTTTTGTTCGCTTGAAGCTAGCGAGTACGACATTCGGAGTCCGTACCTATGTTCAAAAGTGGTACCCGAGCTGACATCCAACCATAGAAGTGTAGTTGTCACGCTCATCGTAACAAGGTCAATGGCTCTTCTTATGCCGCGAAGCCTATCTTCGCCACGTGAGACATAAGTCCGGGAGCATCTAGGAGGATCTTGGGGTGCCTCGGCCATGCCCCTATGTTGTGCCAAGCGCTTGAGCAGCGCCGCACGTATCGTTGGTCAACAAACGCGATTCTCCTTGACCTTAGAGGAGGCTTCTGTGGATGGGCTAGCTCTTCTGAATATTCTTGCCTCTGAGGCTCTTCATACCATATTTCCATACTTCCGCTCCAAAAGCCACCTGAATACTAGACTTCGTCGGGTTAATCCCTTTTTCCTTTTCTGCTCAATTTTACCGTCGACGTTATCATAGTGCGCAATTTATGAATATGTATCGGAACCACATCTCGAAAGAGATTAAAGAACTTGTGTGGAAGACCTCGTCATGCTGCTTGTTTCGTCCTCACAAAGTACTCGAAATTGGGTATCGACAGGCGTCCCATCTGCTAACTGCAGACCACTTCGGGATTCCCTATCTTGTGCTCATAAAACTCCAGAATACAGTACTTCAGTGTGTTGATCGGTTCGCATATCCCGGGGCTGCATAATCCGTGATTGAACTATTACATCCATGTGCGCGGGCGGGGTTCAAAAATGGCGTCGTTCTTGCGTTAGCAATGAATTTTACTTGAGCTAGATGGTCTTCTATGCAAAGCAGCCGTAAGAACGGAAGCGAAACGAGTTTCGCTGAAGCCAACTAGTAGTGCGTACAAGGCAGCCGGAAGGACGGTACTTTGTGACAGAGCCTGTCCATCCCATCCGATGACCTCAGGCGACTTTGCACTTTTGATCACAGGTGTCTATGTAACATGGCAAAAGTTGGTTGGCTGTAGCTGGTACGCAACGAAGTGGCACTCAAGCGCGTATTTGACGTATTTGTCATAATAGGACAGCAGACAACCTATCAAGGTAAAGTGGTTGGAGCACATAGTGAGTAGACCCAACCGCCGTCTACACAAGAAGGCATTGTTTTCCGTTCCCAGCCCTCATTAGCGGAAGGCTTGAGAGGGAGGGGCTATGGCATGGCAACGTTAAATGAAGATGACTACAATCAAATTGATGTAAGGTCTTCACGCACCCCTGGTTAGGTCTCGCGCAATGCTTGTATGTGATCGGGAACCCTGTAGAACATGGCACACAACCGATCTTGGTGTTCACGCTGGCATTCTGTAGGCGGACAGCCCAGAGAAAGTTGTCCGTATGGGTACGGGGTACACATAAGACGTCAGTCCCGCTGATTGCACCCCAATTCTACATGGTGCTCAGATATGTTTATTTTAATGCTATTCGAATGTGTAGGCACCCTTTCTTTACCGTTTGCCCTAACTTCAACCGTTCAGCTGTAAAAATCTTTCCGTACTTAATTGCCATGCCATCCGAACTAAGCATGAGCCAGGAGCAGTCGAGATGCCGAGGTTTCTGTACTAACTGGAAGGTAAGTCTGCGTCCTAACCACTGAACTACCTCTTGCTCAGTTTTCCCTGAGAACAGGGCCAAGTTCCTACGCCTCCTTTTTCTATCGAACCTCTGCTGAGGCTTTCTCTCATGGTTATGTGACGATCAAACGTCAGTGTGTATTGCCGTCATATTACCGCCAATAATGATGCACGACAATGGAAAGTCTGATTGTGCATGTTCCGAACACGTACACAGCTACCACTAAATATCAAAACTGTCACCGTCAATCCTTGCTGCGAAAAAGTCGCTCACCTGTAACACCCTTCCGGTGTCTAGCTGCCATGCTATCCGGAGGAAGCACGAGGGCTGGGATACTGGCAGGTTGTCCAAGCCCAAACAGGGGAAATCGTGGTCGGGTTCAAACCACGTGCCTTCCGGTCGGTAACTTCGCGCTCTAACCACTTCAGTCATCTCGCTGCGAAACCACTATCTTATCAGGCTCAGAGCTTAACTGGCCTAGATGGTTTGCTAACGTCTGCTTACAGGAAGCATTTGTACACAGAGGCGCGGTAGGACAAGAACTTTTCAGAAAATGGTGAGGTTGGCTCGTTCGGGGGTGCACGCAATGTGCTTTGGCTAATCCAAAAAACTGGGTGTAAAATGCCTGTCTTCTAGAGAACACGTACCTCTGTGGTGGCGAGCGTGGCCCCCTACTGGCCTTTTTGGGTTTTTGAGCCAAAGATTTTGCTGGGGTCCCCTGTCTGTGTTTGGACGCCCTGATATGTCGCGTACAACTATGAGCGTCACAGCTAACAGTGCTCTCATGCCACATCGGTCGTTGCGTGTTGTCAGCCGGGTCGCTGCATAGACCAGGGCATAAGCGAAAACAGGTGACTGCTGACGCCTCCCTTTTTGCACTTTCAAATATCACCTGCTCTACCCCACCCCAATTTCCACAATCAAGTGTGATTACTGTTCTGAAAAACCATTGTCTATATAGTTCTAGGTGCCACTATTTCGCCAGCAAATAGACCGGAATTACAAATTCTCGTCTGTTGGAAAACGCATTGGAGTGCCTCGACAGCGCAGAATCCCAGAAAGTCCGCCTGCCTATGGATATTATGAAGGATAATGGTTTCGGTCACTCTTATGGTGAAGACTGCCCCTGTACTTGCTACTCAAAACACATCATGGCAAGTGTTCATCTGTCTTCAAAAACCTTCCTTTGGCCAAGGGAAATCAATAGGATGAATGACTTGTCTGAAATGGATTCAGCGGCCACCCATATTCTCGTAACTTGGTCTAACGGTACATGTGATCTTCAATAAATGTTCTTTTACTGTGTGTTGTACTCACCAGTCACAGAAAACGAGCTTCTTTCGCTACCCTGTTATTAGGAATTCCGCGGATACTCGATCTGAAACAATCCAAAGACCTCCGTGCGCTAAAGTAATCCAAGCTATATCTGAGGCATGGTGCCAAAACAAAACTGCTCTCACTTAGTGTCTAGAGCAAAACCAGTTTCCGAATCTTTCACAAAAATCGAATCAACCCGACACTCAGCGCACGCAGCTGCTACGTATTGTTCGAAATAAAACTCTTGAACTGGAATGCACACAGGTTTAGCGGGTAGCATATTTGAATTTTCGTTGCTTTCCGATCGCACTGGCTTCAGCGCATAGTTTTAACTCATCATTGTCAAAGGAAGTTATGTTAGTTTGATCCCTTGATATCACAAACAAATTTCCAAGCCAATCCC